GAGATGCTGGGAGTGGAGGTCAGATGGAGGCTTCTTATGGCAGCAGCAAATAGCCCCAGGACCTTCAGGAGACCATGAGGCCACCATGCAGTTGAGTTTAGAAATGGATGTTTATAGAATGGCCTAGAGACATCAGCACAAGCTTCAGCTACACAAGCAGCTTTTTTAGGGAGGGAGCAGTACCCCCAGAGATGTTAAAGTAGGGGCAAAACATCTTGAATTCGTGGAGGGAGTCTTGCCTTGTTCAGAAATGTCTCTTTGGTTGACTGGTTTGTTGCAGTCTGTTTTAAAGAAGGTGGGATCTGTTTAGAGCTGAGCCCCAAACCCACAGAAACCATCTTTCTCTACCAGGATGAATTCTATTCCAGAGAGCTGAAGTTTCACAAATGCATTTCACACAATTTAAACCAATGTGGATATAAATGATTCTAAGGTGGGAACGTTCTACGTGTTATTTATTTGTCTTGAGCTGAATATCCCAGACAGCTGTATTCTGTGAGCCCGTGTGTCACTTCTCGTGGTGAAGTTGCTCTTCCTTTGAGATTTGACTGAGTCATGCTGCTGTGCTGGTCCATTTCAGCCACCACTGGGAATTTTCTAGTTGTGTGCTGTAAACCCAAGTATCACAGTTGCCAGAGTTGTGCCAGTGAAGACAGAGGTTCAAGAGGGGCTCACCTAAGAACAACAGAGGTCTATATGTCTCTTTAATATTTCTCAGCTGATCTAGAGGATGTATTGTTGGTCAAGTTCTCCCTCTCCTGTCCTTGCCCTGCTGCTTGGCTTGACTCAGCACCCACATTTTACTATAGATAGTGTCCTGCTCAACCTGTCCATGGTAAAAGTTCAGAATTGCATTAGCAAACTTCCTCTTGCTATTATGAAATGCATGAGAAAAATCAACCTGAGGGAAAAAAGATTTATTTTGGCTCAGAGTTCCAGATGTTTTAGTCTATGGTCATTGATCCTGTTGCTTCTGGGCCTGTGGTTGGGCAGAACATCATAGCAGGAAGCACATGGTACAATAAAGTTGCTCACTTCATGGTGGCCAGGAAGCAGTCAGAGGTAGAAGGTGTGAAGATAAAATGTATGCTTCAGTGACATGCCCCTGAGGATCTACTTCTTACAATTAGGCTCTACCTCCTAAGTTCTCACTGCTTCCTAACAGCCCATTGAATTATGACTCTATCAAGGGATTTATCCATTCATGACTCGAGAACCCTCATGATCAATGACCATCTAAAGTCTACACCTCTGAACATGGATATATTGAGGCCCAAACCTCCACCTCATGAGCTTTGAGGGGGGCATTTAAAATCCAAGTAATAAAAAGAACAGAGTAGTCTGCTTCCCTGACCCTACTATTCTGCCAGCCTGCATGTCTGAACACATCTCAGCCCTGTCTGATGCCCCTCAGATCAGACCCTGCTCCCAAGTCTGCTGAGCTTTCTTTGGGAAGCTTTTGCCGAATAGATTGAATAACATTTTTACATCTTTACCTGGCTTTGTGGTTACTTTTCAGAATTTTGGCACTGAGAACACACAGTATTTATTAGGGAGACTTGCATAAATGGGAAAATTATAGACAAAAATCACTGAATGGAGTAATACACAATTCAGTTGTGCTGTTGGATCTGGTGGCATATGGGTGGGCATCATTGAAAAGAGGTGAGGTCTGAAGCTCAGGGAAAGTTTTGTCCCTTCACTTAGGAGGTGGCTTGGTGAGTACTCTCTTTAATATCTTTCAGTTGTAAATACAGTGCGTCTGACAATGACATTGAGCTTAAGAAAAGCAGAACTGATTACTGTGTAATTATCCAAGGGTCTTTTCTTATGAGTCAAAGATAAGTTAAAAACAATTCTGTTGGACAGAATTTTTTTTCACTTTCTGGTGCACAGCTTGATTCTTGGATAAATAAGTTTGCTGGATAGTTGAGTTATGGACTATCTCATGCTTTAGAAAAGTGAATATGAGAAAATTACTATTTGGAGGAAATTTATGGACCTCCAGCTTCTCTATCTGCCATACTCAGACAGGAGGTATTGAACTTCAGTCCAAGTAATAGATGTGCCTGGAAAGGAATGCTTCATTTTCATGTTTCTTTGAATATGGGCAGAACCTGCGGTGACAATGGGTCTTCACTGCACAGAGACCTTTTGAAATTTAGGGCATAAATGAAGAACTCTAAAGTCCACCCTGCATACATTGTGTGTGAGAACACAAGACTATGTTGCCATGTCCTGCAAAGGCTGCTTGCAGATATGTTCATGGCCAATAACTCTGTATTTCAGAAGCCACAAGGAGAGAACAGATTGATGAGTTGTCTGAAAAGTTCTTCTTTTCCAGCATATTTTTCTCTTCTGTAGTTTTACACTAACCACATTCTACTTTCTGGTTGGTTTTATTCTTTAAAATCACAACTGGAAAATCTGACTCAAACTGAATCATTCACATAATAATTTACATCAAAACAGATACAGTGTATTAGTGAGACTCCTGTTGCTATAACAAAACCCTGAGATAATTAACTTATAAAGAGAAAAGGTTTGTTTTGACCCACCATTTTGGAAGTCTCAGTCCATGATCAGCAGGATCCATTGCTTTTGGCCTTAGTAGGGGAAGAGAGCAGCCAGCCCATGCTGCCAGAAGCATATGGTATGGCAAAACCATTGACTTTTTGGCTAAGATGAAAGAGAAGAGGTGGGGCTGGGTCCCAACTATCCCCTTAAGGCTATGTTCCCAATGGCCAGAAACCCTCCCACTTGGCCCATCTCTTAAAGTTTCTACCACCTCCCAAGAGCACCATGCTGGGCACTAAGCAAGGAGTGGACTAAGCAAGGAGAAGTGTACATTTATGATCCAAACCATAGTAGATAGATGGGTTGATAGACAATAGGTGAAGAGATTGATAATTCATAGATGTAGGAAAAGATTGATTAATCTCTATGAAGCTGTAAATAAATACATTAGTATAGATCTATATTGCATGACAGACTAAGGTTGCCATTGTTAATGAGTAATTTGTTTTTTATTAAGAGAGCATCTAATAAAAAATAAGTAATATAGAAAGAGCTATCTACTTGGAGTTTTTTTTTTCTACCTACAATATTTTTCACTTAAACAGAATTGATAATATTTGAGGTAAATTTTAGAAAGATTCTTCTGTATAATTTACAAAATGTAGCTTTATGAGAGTTGACACATTCTCTCTCCAAATGGCAAGAGCCAATATGAAAATTTCCACCTCAGCACTTTCAATATATCAAACCCTGGGGTATAGTAAGAAGTCTACCTATATTTTGTTTGCTCAGAACAAACCCCTTAGTCAGGAAATTGAGAGCTACCAAATTGAAGACTTACTTGGCACAGATCCCAAGAAAGTGCTCAAGACAGGGAACTGTACCCTAAAGTCTCTGTCATTCTTATCATGCTGCACACTCCAGTGTCATCCACACTCAGCTATTCTCATTGGCTGGGCCACTAGAGACTTGGGGACAGAGGGACTGGAACAGTCTATTGACACTTGCACTTTGTTGGAGGTCAGTGTTATCAGAGTAGGTGGTTGTGGGCCATTTATTTTTGGGTAGACGGCCTCTGAGAAAATACAGTAAGAATCTTCAAGCTATTCCAGCAGATCCCAGGATGGGGGAGCAACAACATACAGAAAGGTTAGGACACCATCTCACTGACAGCTATGGCTCCCACCCCAGATGGGCCATTCCCCTTAAGAGTGTCAGCATGAGGTAGCAGGAAACTAATAAGGGCCACAGCCTTATTTAAAATAAGTAACTCTTAGGCCAGGGATTTAGCTCAGTGGTTCTGCTGCCTGCCTCTCAAGCACAAGTCCTGAGTTCAATCCCTGGTACCAAAAAAACAACAACAACAAAAACAAGTAACTCTTTAAAAAGCTTATAGAGTATACTAAAAGAGAAGCTTGAAAAAAATCAACACATAAAAACAGGGGTATAGAAAAAGTCTCTTTCACTCCTTTTCCTGATCCTGCTTTGCCCTTTCCCAACACAGCCTTGTTTCCCATCTCTGGGGCCTTCCAGAGATTTCTGTGTACAGAAACATTCATTTGCTGGAAAATCAAACCCAGTACACTGGCCCATATTTTGCTTTACTCACTTAACAATATACCTTAGATCTTACTCCACATCTTCACAAGAGCATCCACCTTATATTTTAACTGCTACAAAGCACAGATGTACTTAGTTTACTTAACTAGTCGACCTTTGATGACATAAGGTGGTTTCTAGGCCTCAGGTATTACAATGTGGAAATAAAGAACATATTGCACACATCTATAGATCAATCAATAGCTTCATTAGAGCTATGCACAGTGAAGTTGTTTCCTCTCTGTTCACCATAGTATATTATTTGGCATCAGTATTTTTGCAATAATAATAGTGAACCTTTCTGAAGTGATTACTGTGTATCAGATACTGTGCTAAGCACTTTATGTTCATTATTATTGTGTTATATCACTGTGGCATTTATTATAAGTAATATGTTATTTGATGATAAGATATAGTTTTAAAAACTATAATGTACCTATATATTCCATAAAATAAATGATACAATAAATGAATAACTTTAAAATAACCATTCATTATATTATCACCTAAATTTTTATGGATGAGGCTGGCTAGTTTAAAGTAGTGGTGGCAGGATTTGAGTCCAGGTCCTCTGGCTTGAGTCAAGGTACTAAATCATCCACTCTATGGATCACTAGAGGACATGCAATGTGAGTTCCTAAGGGCACTGCTGAGCCTAAGATAGCAGTGTATACAAATAGAGCTCTTAACCAGACTTCAGAGGCAGTCTTAGCAGGAAGATGACGATCATTCGGTGAAAGTTTGAGAACTGTGGCCATATCGATGCCCCAGCTCCCTGGAGGCACTGCTGCAACCCCACCAGCTTGCCTCCCAGACAGTAGACTTCAGTACATTAGACATGGGCTTGTTAGATACTTTGAACACGACTCTCATTTTATCTTTAGAAGAAACAAAAGTATTTTCTGGAAGCAGCAAGAAGCAGCAAGGAGAAGCTCGTGTGACTCAGTCTGCTCCTCCAGTGGCTCAGAAGCCCATTAAAAGATTTCTTCCTGATGGAGACAGTTCACCAAAAGCTGACTGTCAGTCTAGTGACCTTGCTAAGCCCACAGAGAGACGACTTCCAAGCTTCCTGAGACCTAGAGTCACTTTGCCTGGGTTCCTTTGCCCCTCACAAGATTCATGCACCTCTCCAAGAGAAGACAGTGGTGCTCAGATAGAAAGAGAACTCCCCAAAGGTAAGGAGTGAGGATAGTGGTCAAAAGGATTTTTTTCTTAATTCTTTTGTGGAAAATGGAGCAATGTCTTCCTGGGCACACAAGCCTGTGGTCCCTAGACTCAGCTCATTGAGGTGTCAGAGAAGAGAGGAAGCAGAAACTGCTCATAGGGTGGGAAATTTAGACCTCACAAGCAGCCAGAAGGCAGCCCCATGTGAGTCAGAGGCTCCAGTCCTACTGTGCATAAGGCTGGAACCTCCAGCTTTAGCTCTGGAAATTGTAAGAAGCTGGTGCAGCTATTCTAAAGCAGCAGGTCCACCAGGCTGACCGAGCACTAGCAGGGACAGTGGCTGAGGGTTATAACCCTACATATTGCCAACACTTGACATGCGCACACTAGACTTGACAATGCCCATGGGGTAGACCTTGTCACAAAGGAGGGAACCAAGTGTAGGCGTCATCTCTCTAGAGGTCATTTTGCTGGCCATTTCAGGACAGTGCAGTGGGTGGTGACATCTAAAAAGGAGGCAAAAGTGGGGGCCAGGGATTTAGCTCAGTGGTTCTGCTGCCTGCCTCTCAAGCGCAAGGTCCCGAGTTCAATCTCCAGTACCAAAAATGAAAAAAAAAAAGGGGGTCTGTGGCCCCCAGTATGTCAATAGGATTATTTAGATTTTCTTTCACTCTAAAAATTTTATCACTGTAAAAGTTCAAGGTGTTATGGAGGACAGAAAGAAAGATACAAAATTATATTCCTTTGCATTGTGAAAGTTAAAATGGCTGTGGTCACGTATGAGAATGTCTCTTGGAACTCCTTAATCCCTAGCTCCTCATTCATCAGTCTATTAGGGAAGCAATTATTAAACATCTACGGTGTGTCATATATGTTGTCAGGGCACCCTACCCTTCAGACTCTCAGTCCAGTACAGGACAGAATGAGCAGCATTACTCTGTCTGTAGCATGATCTTCTAGGAAGCTGAGGATGGGCTGGCACTCTGATAGGGCCTAGTCAAGGTGTCTTCCCCCTAAAAAGGGTTCTGATCAAGAACTTGAAATGCTATTAGAGGTTTAAAAATTGGGCCAGGAACAAAGAGCATTGCAGGCTGAGGGAATGACACACACAAAGCAAAGAGATGGAACACTCATGGCTGATTTGAGAAACTACAAGGGGACCAGGGGCCAGAGCACAAGAGTGAGGTCTGGTGTGAGGGACCACACCAAGGGACCCACGGTTCAAGTGGAAAGACCCTTCTAAAACCAATGCTGGAGTCTAACTGAAGGCAATGAGGCTTGCTCTGAAAGACATTGATGTATAAGGAACACGGTAGACAGTGGCAGACAGCTCTCAGCTTGCGGAAGAGAGGATAGTGGACAGTCCCTGGTTAGGAGGCCATAGATGTTTTGAATTCAATGGGTAGATCCTTGTTATGGAAGTGAAGAATATGGGAGAATTAGAGCTCACCCTTGGGTTGCTGATCCTGGTAATGGTGAGATGGTACAGAGGGATGCAAAGAAAGTGTGGTTAACCTTGTGAGCTAGAGAAAGTGTTCACAAGAAGACAGGGAAACAGATAATGGAGGGGAAAATTAATTTGTTAAGGAGGGACTTTGGAGGTTAATGGGTAGGCCTGGGCTAATCTGGGCTGATAGTTAGACATGAGCTAACTTAGGCTGGTGAATATATCTGAAGAGGAGGTGGGCCAATGGGGAAATCCTCCAGAAGAAGCAAAAGAAAATGCTTGGAGTTATTAAAGAGAACGACGTGAGAATGTCTAAGTAGTGGAATATTCACTATGAGGAACCCACACAAAGTCTGGACAGCTTGGGCCTATCAGAACTAGGGTACACTGATGGTTGTTGAACAGAGGTAGTACAGCTGGCCTAGCCAGAGAGGATCTAGGCATGAACCATGACAATGACAGCAGATTCAGATAAGCTGCATCCTATGGTCAATTGAGCCTCCTGATGCCCACTTCTGCTTTTTCAGAAGATCCAGCTCTTTTTAGGCACCTGGCTTGGCACTGTGGAGCATGATGTGGTCAGCCCTTGAAAGGGCCACAGACTCATGGGGTTAAACATCATATTATGACCTAACTTGGGTCCCATGCTGTTGAGTGGGTAAAGGATGACAGAGGTAGGGACAGGTGCTATCTTGGGGAAGGGAGACAGCGCCCTAAAAACTATGACTCAGCCTGGAGATGGGAGGCCACTGGGCAGCCGAACTAAAGGGATTTGTGGAGATGAGAATGCAGATGACGTAAGGAAGACTTTGTGCTTGGTCAGAGTTGATAAGGCTGTAGTTGCCTGGGGAAAGTGCAGCAGGGAAGATAAGGGGGACTCAGATGGAAAGGGTGAAGTAAGGATAGATAAAAGGATCTATCCTTAACTTTCCAGGCTGAGGCATTGGTCACGAAGTGGCCAGTGAATTCATACTGATCTCCCTCGACCACCCTGAAGTACTGAGGAATCAACTCATTTCCTGGCCTTTTCCAGGAAAGAAAATCAAAATGGCCACAAGGAAAGGCCAAAACCAGTTTTGAGAGAGAAATCATTTGAATTACTTATGCAAAGCCAGTGGTAGACTCTGACAAATTAATGGGAGAGATAAATAATTGAATGCCATCCCCCATCCTTATATCATTAGTGTAGCAAACATGAGACAGATTAATATGCTGTCTTGAAGCAACCCAACTGTAATAATTGTACAGGACACACTTACTATGAAACAGAGAGTGGAAACGTTTCTGTGCCTTTTGAGCAAAGGCACTGTAAGCACCAGAAGCCAAGGAAATACCTCCATGGCATAATTAGCCAGTCGTGAAGTGTGGCTGACTGAGTGCTCCTCCCTGTGACCAGGGCAACCGGGAGGGTCTGTGATGAGGCACAATCTTGTTGACTTAACGAGGCCCATTAATAACCCACTGGCGTTTCTATTTTCAAAATTGTCTTCTGTGTCTAATGGCATTGAGGAGCCAGGCGAAAATTACTCAGTGCCCTCTAAATGGAATTCTAAATCTTCTCTCCTAGGAGATTATACATGCTGTGACTTGGTTGTAAAAATAAAGGAATGTAAGAAGAGTGAAGACTCCACCATGCCTGAGGTCTCACCAGCACCCCCCTCACCAACATCCCTCAAGGGACCTGTGACCCCTGGTTTGTCAGAAGACAGTCCTGATCCTCAGGAAACACCTGCAAGCCTCTTGACTTTGCAGGTAAGGCCTGCTGAACATCCCAGCTTGATTCCCACCAAAAGGAGGGCATTCCTAGGGAATGGAGAAGAGATGTACAGCCTCATTTCTGCCTCAGAGACTGGAAACTGGGCTCCCCTTCCTGGTGGCTGTGTGACCCTGACAGGTTCCCTAATCTTTCTGAGCCTATTTTACCATTTGAGTAATAACACTGACTCTACGTGGTGAGAATGAGGATCAAATACTATTAATAGTAACAACGATCATAGCAATGGCAGGTGCCCAAAGGCTGCACCGGTCACTGAATAGGCATCAGTACCTTTGGTCCTCTAAAGACCCCTCACGGGCAGGAGCCTCCCTAGGTTGTCTTTAAATCAAGACACTGAACCTTTGCAAGATTGCAAAAGTTGACAAAGTCATATGGCCATGAGTTGAAGGATATGGAAGATTATTTGGGGCACTTTTCATGGTTATAGAAGTAATACGGACACATTTTTTTGAAGTTATAAAAATTAGGAGGGCAAAGAGCCTCAGAGAAGCCCCTGCTACAGTGTATTGTGCAGCCACCCTCAACCTTGGTATGTTGTCAGTCTCCCTGGGATTGTAGAAATGGCTCCATTGGCCAACTTGGTGCCCCCAAGCATCCTGAGCCACCAAGAATTTCCTTGGAGTAAAGCAGCGGTCACACAGGGCATTCACAGGAGCTCTCTTTCCAGGCCTGGATATACCTATATACCCATATACACCGTAAACCCGGTGATTGGTGATTGTGGCGCTAGTTAGGTAGTGGCTAGCATTTGGTGAGAAAAACTCCTTTCTTGTCGCAGCTGCCAGAGACAGAAACGTGATATAGATAGAGGCCACAATTCCTACCCTGGGGAACTCTGAGCTCCCAGTGGGTTGAGAAAGGAATGAAGTAGAGTAGCATTTCCATCATTCCCAGTACACTCAGTGAGCCTTTGCTCAGCATCTGGTGTATGCAGGGCTCAGGGAAGTATCTCTGATCATGAGATACAATATCAAGGACATCATTTGCTCATGCTTTCCAGGAGCTTGAAGCCCAGCATGCAGATAGACATGTTACATGAGGTGATCTGTGAGGTCCCACGATAATCAGGCTGAAGAGAGGAGATCCATCGGGGCTTCATGGGGCAGATGGAACTTGAACCAGTGGGGGTAGCTGTGGATGGTCCTTCAGGATATGGGACACCTTGAGTACAGACCACCAGAGAATAGGAAGTTAAGATAATGATGGGCAAAGAGAGTAAAGTATGACTATCACAGCTGAAGATCACCATGTGCTCTACCAAGGTACTGTGAGCCTCAGTGTTTGCATCTTTCCAATGGGAATAAATACATCTGAGTTTTGGAATCCATGTGAGTATCCCAGGAGACAGTTTATCCACACAGAGGACCCAGCCTAGTGTCTGGCATGGTGGCAAACTGTCTTTTGCAGCAGACTTGTGGCTTGGTGCATGGATGTGGGTGGGATGAGGCAGATGTGAAAATGTATGGGCTTCTGCTCTATTCTATGGAGCTCATAGAACCATTTTTATGTAGGTAGATATTTCCTCCTAACTCTGTCTACCCAGGAGCAGGAGTGGTTTCCTAGAGCCACAATGACAGTTTTTCCTGAAAAGGCCCATTTTTCACCCTGGAAGTGGGATGCTTCTCAAAGTCTGTGCCTTTGAAGGTTCCAACCCCAGCAGAAGCAGGTGATTCATTGTACCTACCTCCCACCCTTACCCACTTACTTTTGAATTTGGGATGCAGGGCCTATTGGCAATTAGGCAGTTGTCCTTATTGAAGGACAAATGGGAAAATGTTGGCCTTTTGCACTCATGATCTCAATGTTCATTACTGCTTAACGCTGTGAAGTGGGGCCCTTGGTGCTGGCCAGATCTGACCATCAGGACCTGTGTTATCAACATGTCTGTTCGCATTTTACACAAACTCATGCGAAAAAATGAAGTATTTTATATGCAGCTTTTAGTTTCTGAGTGTCCTGCTTGATTGGCTTCTGCTGACTAAATCAGATGGATGTGTTACCTTTTGGTATCATTTCCCTTAAAAATAAAATATTTTCTTTGCTCTATTTAGGAAGCTCTGGAAGTCCATAAACCTCAGTTCATTTCCCACTCACAAGAAAGGCTGAAGAAGCTAGAACACATGGTACAACAGAGAAAAGCTCAGCGGAAGGAGAGCCCGGGGCAGAAGCAGAGTCTCCTTCCTGTCCGCGCCAACAAGAAGCAGTTCACCATTCCCCATCCTCTTAGTGGTAGGCTGAAGGTGGTGGGGGAGATCTAGAAAGGACCAGGGGACAGGAGTGCTTGGGGATTAAGTCTTTACCTATATTCCCACTTTGACAAATGTTCCCACTGACACAGGCAGAACCAATCAAAGCCTGTTCTGAGAGCTAGCTTGTTTTGTGGGATTACATAAGGGTATCAAACTCGGCAGAAAGAACTTGGGACACCAATTTACCATTATAGCTGGGAAAGAAGCCACACACCACTGTAGCAGCCAGGGTAGCAAGTTCAAATTCTTGGCTCCTGCCTGATGTTTTCTAGAGAGCCCCTTTGACCTTTATAGATTGCAAAACAAATCACAGGGCAAGAGGTTGACTCCAGCTTGTCTACATCAACATTCGTCATCCTGAAACCCCTTCCTGCTGTGAGCTCAGGGAAAGGATGTCCAGTTTGCTGAGCACTGTGAAGCCAGGGTTAAGCTGACCCTAGGAGGGAGGGCACTCACTCATGGGTGAAGGAGTTATCAGGAACCTTTCCTGGGCCAGGCACCATGTGGAGGGACTGGGGATGCCATGGTGAGATACACTGAGCTCAGTCCTTTCTTCATGGAGCTTATCAACAGATCATCAAACAAGCAAAAATGACAAGAAAAGATGAGAGTGAAGATTCATGACATCATAGCACATACTCATTGCCTGCCAACCCAAATCTTAAAATCTGCAGGCGTGGAGAAACTTCAGTTTTATTCCTTTGGATAAAGGAATGAGATCTCTCCTCCTAGGAAAATGTTTTGTTCCCCAGAAAGCAAAATCATGAGTATAATTCTGAATAAAAGTCCTCTGGGGAAATAACCATATTCAATAAAGTCCAGCTTAGCAAACATTACCAAGATCCTATAAGGGAGAACTGGAGGACAGGAAAAAAGGTGTTGTCATAGAATTCCTGTTATCCCCCAGGGTCCATGGGCAGGCAGTCCACGTCCTGCAAACCAGGTTGCTGTGGGAGAGCTGTCTGGCAAGGGTGGGCATGAATTTATCCTTCTTGGACAAAGGCTTTGGCAAAATACCTGCTGGTTCTCCCTCATGGTACTTTCCAGTATGCCAAGGAATAGAAACATCAAGATGCTCCCCCATTGGACAATGGGTGTCTAGCCCATATTCCAAGCCAGGTAGCACATACGGGCTCAGTCTGAGTTTGTCCTCCAGGCACTGGTGGGTCTCTGGCTCCACAGTGAGAGACTGGTTCAGGTACAGACTTTTGAAGGTAGCATGAAAACCAAATGCTAGCCACAGGTGGGAGTGTCCTTGGGCCTCAGTACCTGCATTTCCCCCAAGGCTGGCTGGGTGTTGGTATTCACCTCAGCCTTAGCAGTTCTGGAGATACTGCTTAGTAAAAATGGTTAGGCCAATGTCAACAAATACAAAACAGTGCTGCTTTAGAGTATAACACAGTGTCATACACACCTAATGGAATCTAAGGGCCTTCATTTTCAGCCAGGTTCTTTCACTTTATGTAGGAAGAAGCAGAAAACCAAGGCGGGGGGGTGACTTCTGAAGAATGGTGTCTTGTTAGTCAGCTTTTCATTGCTATAGCAAATGCCTGAGAGAAATCAAACTAGAGAGAGAATAGATTTATTTTGGCTCACAGCTTTGAAGGTTTTAGTCCCTGGTCAGTTGCACTGGTTGCTTTTGGGCTTATGGCAGAACAGCACATCCTGGCAGGAAGTGCATGATAGAGCAGAGCTGCACATCTCGTGGTGAGACCAGGGTCCCTCAGTTCTTTCTGCAACCAGACCCCCAGTGGCCTACACCTCCTACTAGGCCCCTTTCCAAAGCCTTAACACCTGGGCCTCTGAGGCCCTTGCAGATACAAACTACTACCTAGCAGGTGTCAGTGCTTGGTCCCTCTTTCCTGGAGCAGAACCACCTGTCTGTGCCACATTGCTAGCCACAGTATCTCAATTAGCAGAGATGATATGGCCTTAGTAGGCTGAGTTACCTTCCTAGGGTTTATGTAGGACATCCTTACACACAGGTGGCTTAAAATAACAGAAATATATTTTCTCAAAATTCTGCAGGCCAGAAATCAAAATCAAGATGTCCAGGGGGTGGTTTCTTATGGAGGCTCAGAGGGAAAACATGTGACGTGGTGCTTTCCCGGCATTTTTGGCATCTGGCAATTCTTGTTGTTCCTTGGCTTACAAATGCTCCACTTCAGGCTCTCCCACTATGTCTTCAGGTCTTTGTATCCATATTTCCTTTCCTCTTCTCTGTGCTAGGATCCTTATTACCCAGTATGACCTTATCTTAACTTGATTACATTTGCAGTACCACATTGCCAATCATAAGCTCAAAATAAGGTTACATTCACAAACATGGAAGGTTAAGACTTGATCAGATCTTTCAGGGGGACAAAATCCTACTCAATACAACATCCAACTTAGATGTTTTGCCCCAAATAAATATCCTTACAGGCTTACATTTCTAGATATGAAAAGCTTAGAATTGTATTAATAAAGAGGGATCAGGCCGTGTCGATAGTGTTAAAGTAACCAACGTATTTTTTATTCCCCAAGTTCTGAGATAGTTCTGGTGACTGTAATTTTTCTGGAGGGTGGTGGTGGGGCTTGGCCAGCAGGGATTTTATAGCCATCTGACTGTCCCTGCAGTATTTATGTGTTGACGAGAGCTTTACTTTCATGTTTGTTTGTGTTAGATCAGTTAAATCAGACAACTTCTGAAACCAGATCCTCGTGTGGCTCAGGCAAGTGAAAGGGAATGTTTAAGGTCCCATTAAACAAGTCTACAGTACACATCTTGTCTTCAGTCTGCTGGCAAGATGATAAAAGCAAAATGCAGATGTTTTTCTTACATGCTAAATTAGTTAATAAATCATATGCATGAATGAGCTCTGGCTACAATGTCAAGGAGTCTGGTTAAAAAGAAGACTCAGATTTGCCTTCCTACTAGGGTAGCTGCCTCTGATCTGGGCTTGCAGAACAGTCTTGGCTGAAGGACAGGCCTAAGAGGTTCAGGTGGGAACTAGTGAGAAGCTGATTTTCAGGTTACAGTAAAGACCAGAGACAGCTGGTTCATGTTGGCTGATGAATTCTGAGTGCCCTCTGAGGTTCGGGGGCAGGGTGCTATGTGTATGTAGGATGCCTGCATATATATGGGTAGATGTTAGAGTTGTGTTCCTGTCTGGAGATAGGAGAACTTTCGAGAATAATTGGGGATGACAGAGAGATCAGGAAATAGAATTAGAAATGTCTTGGTATGGCCCCTGCCTCCTGATGGAGAAGATCTCCCATTTGTATTAGGGTGAGTAGCAGCGATGCAGGTAAATCATGGTACAAAGTAGGGGACAAGTCACTGGTGATGCTCAGTTCTGCTTTGGGGATAGGGAGTAGGAGTGAGACATGGGAGAAAGATGAACTCAAGAGAAATTAACCCAAGGAGGCTAGGCATTGTAATGGGAGGTCAGCCTGAGTAGGGAGCTGTGTAGGGTCACAGGCAAGATGTGACAAAGCCTGGCCCAAAAAGGGTACAGGGTGCAGAAAGATGAAAGAGTCAAGAGGTACTCAGGTAGAACCAGTGGTGTTTGCTCTGTGGGAGAGAGAAGCTGAGACAGGGAAGTGAAGGTAGATGATAGGAGGGTTTTGCTGTCAGTCTCCACATGAGCAACACTCCAACCTGAGGGCCTCTCTGTTCTTCTCAAGCCAGGACTTTACCTGGTCAATTCACCAGAATTACCTGGGAGCCGTAGGAAAGCTTCTTCCTCCCTCAGATCTGAGGTGTATTGGTTCAGGTTCAAAGACCAACCCTGAGCTGGGAAATAGTGTTTCAGAATTAGTCATTGCTTCTTCCTTGCAGGTAGACTCCAAAGCAAGGAAGCCCTGATAGCATATATAGAGCACATATAGGGACCAGGGTTGCAGCACCTGCAGATGGTAAGTGGCCACCTGGTAGTAGTCAGTTGCATCCTCTGTTGGCTGAACTGTGGTTTCATCCCAGCTCACTGAAGTTCTGCACACTTTCCACTGAGCTTCAGAGCCTCCCTGGATCATGTCCCCCACCCTGAAACCCAGATCTCTTCCTACCTGACTCTGCCACTCCCCCACTCTACCTGGTTGGTCTCATTCGCTGTCTGGGGATGTTCACACTCAGGGACCTCAAGCCCCTGACAGAACTTTGTCTGTCTGTCCACCTTCTGTATTACATCATCCTACCCTACTTCCCAAGCTGGTCTCATGTCCAGCTTCTTCTCTTCCCTGTGGTACATGACCTGGTGTGTGCTGGCTTTCACTTCTCATCTGAGAGCTTTGCTAATGATGAATCACCATTGCTACCAATATCTAATGCTACAGCCAATTCAGAAAGCCCCACATTGCCCAAACAGTGCTCATTTTTCCTGGCTTCTATCTCTGCTTGTTTCCTAAAGCTGCCTTTCCGGGTCCTTATCCATGGCTCTCTCCTTAACCTTTAAACGTGAGGATGTCCATCAGGAATCTCTTCTTCCACAAATCCCTTCCTGATCCTCCCTACACACATTGCCGTTTGAATACTTGTTACTCTTGAATGTGGGTAAATCACATAGTCTTGCCTTACTCGCTTTTCATTGAGTCATGTGGCTGTGCTAGGAAAATGCCTAGATTGGAAGCCCTAGCAGGCATGCACCATGTTGAGTCACTCTGAGACTCCCTGCTGGACCTAGCAAATCAGACTGACTTAATCTGAATTGTGTTATCCATACTTCCCAAGGTGAGCCAAGTCAGAGCCATTCAAATCATGGGCCAGTAGAGGGAATGGAATTCTCCAGAAGCCATTGCAAATTTTCTTCTTTAGCAAATGTGCCTTCAGAGATGACTCTTGGATGGAGCAAATACTAACATTAATTTGCATTCTGAGAGCATCTAGCTGGAGATGTGACCCCACAGATATGAGAAGGCAGCAGAAGTCATTGCAGCAATAAAAGTGTGCTGTTCATCACGCAGCTAGCTGAGCAGAGGCCACGCTGTCCTTACTGTTGC